CCCCCCCCACCCCAAAGAAAAGGCACCGTGAATGCTCCGCGCTGCCCGGCCAGCTCCAGGGCCATACCTGGATCCTGCCAGGGCAGCTTTAATCCTCTGCAAGAGACATCCCCCAAAAACCAACCCGTCCACCACCCCCCTGCACCCACCTCCCAGTGTGGGGCACCCACCTGCCCGCCAGGTGGGAACAGGGGGGCTGGGACAGCCCCAGGATCAGGCTGCTAAAGGCACTGGGCGAAGGAGGGTGCAGGGAGCCAGGGGGGACCCGAGGGTGACCTAGAGCTGGGTGCTGGTGACGGCACTCACCCCGTGCACCAGCACAGTGGGGCCCAGCCCGCGGGTGAGCAGCTCCAGCTGGTGCAAGTAGAGCGGGTAGAGGCTGGTGTCGGCTGGTGGCCGCGGCAGGTAGAGGAAGCGTACGGCCGGTGCGGGGCTCTGCTCCAGGACGAGTTTGTTGGCAGCACAGACGTACTCATCCGACACTTGCGTGGTGTTGGCCGGGAAGTTCACAGCCCCTTCCTCTTCCTCCTCCTCTTCCGCTGCCCCGGCGGGTGCTGGTCCCCCCGGGGGTCCGCGTCGGGTTTGCCAGTGCAGGCGGGTGACGGCGTCCCAGGGCACCAGCTGGATTTGGGCCTGGATGCGCAAGTCCTTGAGGAGCTGCCGCAGCTTCTCCTCCTGGGCATGGGGCATGGCGCCCGCCTCCACGCAGAGGAAGAGGCGCAGGCGGGCCCGGCGCCAGGCCCGCGCCATGTTGAGGACACAGGCCATCTGCAGCAGGAAGAGGCTGCAGGTGTCGGCGTAGCGGGCGCTGTCGGGCCGCAGCAGGTTGACGGGCCAGACGTGGATGGTGGGCGGGGGGCTGGCGGCCCGCCGCAGCTCCCAGGCCTTGTCCAGGCTCTCCAGCTGCCGGGCCAGCAGGACGTTGCGAAGCATCTTCAGGGCATCAGCCACGATGCCCACGTACTCCCGGGGTGACAGCAGCTTGGGGGTGGCGGGTGCCCGCAGAGGGGGGAAGCCCAGGGGGACCTCCTCACGGGCGCTGGTGAAGGCGGGGTGCCGGGCTAGACCGTCCTGCGGTGCCTCGTCATCGTAGAAGCCCAGAACCAGGGTATTGGGGCGCATCCCGCCTGCCAGAGAGACCACACCAGCCTGACTGAGCAGAGGTGGAGGGCCCCACCAGCCTTCCTGGCACTGCAGGGGCCAACAAGCCCCAGCTTGGCTTTGGCGTTGCTCACCCTGGTGATTCCAGAGCCCTCAGCATCACAACACACAGTTGCCTCCAAGACCCAACTTGGCTTTGTCACTGCCAACCAACACCTCTCCAAGCTCCCACTTGGCTTTGCTACTGCCCACACCAGGTGCTTCCAACCCCCCTGGCATTGCACAACCAGGCGTCTCCAAGCCCTTCAACACTGTGGCACAGATACCTCCAAGCCCCGACTTGGCTTTAGCATTGCTCACCCCAGATGCCTCCAAGCCCCAACTTGGCTTTGGCATCACCCACCCAGGTGCCTGCTGCAAAGCCCTCAGCACTTCTCACCCTGCAGGGGCAGTGGAGCGGATCCCCACCTGTGCCCAGCCCAGGCAACACTCACCAAGGCCAGAGGTGAAGAGGAGCTGCCGGACGCCGTGTCGCACTGAGGGTGCAAGGGTGAGGCTGACAAAGGCCTTGACATTCAGCTTGTCCACCAAGCTCAGCCACGAGTCCTGCTGGGGCTGCAGCGGGTCTGAGGGCAGCGTGTCTGGGTGGGGAGCGAGAACAGCATCAGGGGGTTGGGTACCCCAGACCAGCAGCTCACACTAGTGTTTCTGCAGCACCCCCCTGCAGAACCAGTGCCAATCCCTGTGCCCACCCCAGGACCCACGAGACGGGGAGGGTGGAAAGCTTCCAGCCAGAGATATGAAATTATACATAAATATATAAAAATATACCCAGGCAGCCCCATCCCCCCTCCCCAATTTCAGGCCATTAGTCACCACGGCAACGGTGGGGGAAGGGGGAGCAGAGCCCATGCATCCATTGGGGTGGGGATGGGGATGGCCACTGCGTGTGCCAGGGAGCCTGTCTGTGCAAACCAGTGTGCACCAGGGTGCAAACAGGCCTGAAGCACGTGGACACATAGCGGCGGGCACGAGGTGAGGATGAACGCAGGCACACGCACACATGTGCTGGTGTGTGCAGGTGTTGACCTGTTCAACAGGACCGTGCTGCACAGGGGCCCGGAGGAGCCTGGCTGGCACATGCCACGTGTACACACCAGAACCAACATGTGCAGGACGAATATTTGAGCACACACATGTGCAAACTTACAGGACACATGTGCAAGCATGTGTACACAGGAGACATGGTACAGACACAAGTCACCTGTGTCTCTCATACCAAGCCAAACCCAGGGTGCCACACGTGTGCACAAAATGCTGACAGTCCCTCACTGCACTCCCCCCTGCCCAGCCAGGAGCTGTCAACAGCGTCACCTCAAGGACTGGGGGAGCCCCCCAGCACCACAGCAAGGGGCAGAGGCCACCAGTGCCAGGGACAGTGCAGACCCTTACCCAAGTCCTGCAGCTCAACATGGCCCAGGACATAGAGGCCACTCTTCTTGAGGTCATTGACAAAGTCGATGAGGCGGGCACTGCCCCGTGGGTTCTGCACCATCAGCAGCATCTGCGGGCGCCAGAACTTGACGTGGTCCTTCCGCACATCCAGCATCAGCAGGTACTTCCGCACCTGGAGGGAGGGAGGGAGGGAGGGCTGCAGGTGAGGAACCATCCTTCTTTCAGCAAACCACCCCACAGGGATGCCGGCCTCGAGGACACACTGCCCAGGACAGACCTGCCACTGGGACACCAGCCTGGGGACACCAGCTCTCCATCCCGTGAGGGGACAGCAGAGGACAGGGCTCACCTGGTGGAAGATCAGGGCCTGGCTGATGTAGCCCCAGGTGCTGCTGGGCGAGAGGTAGTGGAGAGCAAGGAGGAGGATGAGGAGGAAGCCCAGGCTCGCTGAGGCTGACACGGGGCTGATGAGGAACATCATGACACAGCAGCCCGCGATGCCCAGCAGGCACGTGTGCCAGGTGAAGTACCGGAAGGTGGGCCTGGAGCAGGGAGAAGGGGACACCTGCTACCATGTGGTTCGCATGCTGGCTACAAGGTGAACGCAGCGAGAGGGGCTGCGCCCAGATGCCACACAAACCACCCCAGTGAACCCTGCTCTGCCAGCCCTGGGCATGTTGGGCACCCCAGATGTCTGTGGAAGAGGGCACAGAGGGGAGATAGTACCTCCCAGGGCACCAGGCAGCCCCTTGCTGCCAGCCCCTGGCAAACAGGGGTAGTGATGGTTATGGGGCTGGCGCTGCCCTGGCCTACCCTGACAGGCCAGCTAGTGTTGGGCAGCGTATGGCAGCGCTGGTGGCTGTGGTACCCACTCAGCCTGGCGCAGGGAGGCGGAGGCGGGGAGGTGAGAAGCTGTTATTTTCTCTAATTGCTGTTTTTCCTGAAAGGTAATTAAAATCCTTTTCCGCTGCGCTTGATGGAGATCTCAGTGTTTGTAGAGGGGGCACCAAGTGTGGGGTGGGTGAGAGAACCGTCACCACTCACCCCAGCAGCCTCCCCCCAGGCACCGATCCTGCCCCCATCCGTGCCCAGCCAAGGGAGCAGCTGGGTGGGAGCCAAGACCCAGCCTGGCACAGACACCAGTGGGAATGAGGGAACTCCAGGGGACCCCCGGGCAGTGCCACCCAGCCCTGCTCAGGCACAACCTCTGTCCCACCTGGGGGACTGTCCCTGCTGTGGAAGTCACAGCACCCCGCCCGAGGGCATCGGGCATCACCCAGGAGGAACACCAGGCTCCCCCCAGCCACCCTGCCATGCCCCCCCCTGCCCCAGATTTGGGCAGCCCTGCCAGGCCAGCCCCATGCCAGGTACCCCACACCCCTC